CGATATCTAGTCGAGTGTCGTTGTTGAAATCACCAACAACTACAGATATTGGATCAGAACCAACTGAATACCTTGTTTCATTTTCAAAAGAACCGTTTCCATTTTCAAGAAGGATACTCACATCATTGCTACGGTAATTGGCAACAACGATATCTAGTCGAGTGTCGTTGTTGAAATCACCAACAACTACAGATTGTGGACCAGAGCCAGCTGAATACCTTGTTTGATTTAAAAAACCCTCAAAATAACCAAGGTGAATATCTATGCTACCAGTATCATTGTTCACGACGACAATGTCTAATCGATGATCCTTGTTAAGATCACCTATGGCAACAGAAATCGAAGAATAAGATCCAGTTGAATACACAATTGGATTTTCAAAATGGCCGCTTCCATATCCGAGAAGTACACCTATATTTTCATTGCCGTTATTAGCGATGACGATCTCCAATCGATTATCTTGATTGAAGTCTCCGATGCCAATCGCATATGGAGAAGCAGAACCTACGGAATAGGCGGCTTGATTAGCGAAAGTTCTATTGCCATTGTTCAAAAGTACACCTATTTCATGAGTTCCAGAATTGGCGATAGCTATATCAACAAATCCGTCGTCATTAAAGTGGCCAATAGCGATTGAGTATGGATGGGAACCAAGTCCAGTTGAAAATGTGATTTGTTTTTCAAACGTTCTGTTGGTATTTCCAAAAAGTATGCCAACATTATTCGTGCCATAATTGGCAATGGCGAGATCTAAATAGTTGTCGTTATTGAAATCTCCAGCACCTAATGAGGATGGAAGAGAATCATAACCTGTTGAATACATAATTGGAGGCGAAAAATTTCCATGGCCATATTCATAGAATATACTAACACTGTGAGTTCCGTAATTCGCAGTGGCAACATCAAGTAGTGAGTCATTGTTGAAATCAACGACAATAATTGCTATCGGACGAGATGAGCCTGTTGAAAGTTCTATTTGACTTGCAAAAGATCCATTCCCAAATCCATGAAAGATCCCGATATTGTTAGTGCCGAAATTCGCTACTGCAATATCCAATCGGTTGTCATTGTTGAAATCAGCAACTGTGACCATGTATGGGCTAGAGTAGGAACCTGTTGAATATATGATTGGATTTCGAAAACCGCCATCGCCTTTTCCCAAATACACCGCTATGTTGTTGGCTATATGATTGGCAATAACCATATCCAAAACGGAGTCATTATCGAAATCGCCGATGGCGACAGATCGTGGACCATGCTTATATTCAATTGGCTTTTGAGCCGTTGGTTTGAAATTGAGACCGCACTTTGGAACTAAACGATATATGAAACAGAATGAGATGACTGATTGTTTTCCCTAGTAGAAGTATTCGTCCTAAATTGTTTTCAGTTATTACAATTACTATCATAAGCTGCCATAAGTTACTAAATGGCTCTATTTAGAGACAGTATATAGCCATCATCGTGCAAAAGAACTCTGCTTAGTTTCTTCGAATTCAGATAAAGTTAGATATGGAAATTCATCAATTAAACCTCTTGTTTGTTCCCATCTTCTCATTTACTGTAGAATTCGTTCCAAAACTGTGCTGTGCCACACTATTGCAGAATCAAACGGATATCAAAACTGTACTGTTGTGTAATGCTCTCAGTGATCCGATCAATATTTTGGATTAGTAATTTAGAATAACAAACAGAATATAACAAAGTCTGCTACGAATGCTTGAGAATAAAAATGAACAAAATTATGCCGCTCAAGAAGCGAATGTGAATCTACTGACTGATTAACCATGCATGAAGACGATCTACTATAGTTAGTGTATTTGTCAGTAATTTCGTCATATGGACAACGCATGTTCACTGATAGTTTTTGCGTGACAAGCATGCAACTGTTTATCTCTACTGCATTTCGTATAGTGAGCAATCAATGATTTCTATCGATCTGTTCAATCACAAATAGGGATAAATATTTTTCTCAGTTTTATAATGTATATACAAAATTTTACTATTTTTGAACCATGGTAACGAAAATAATTCGCTAGGATATGATAAAGATATGAGAACTCAGTGATGAATATAACATAGAACACATATAAGTCATACAAAAAGACAAAAGTAAAACGATTGTATGAGAGAATACTCGAAGAGCGAAAGAAGATGTAGATGAAACACATATACTACTTACTCTTGTCTGCAAGCAATATAAAGTGAGAAAAATCGCCTGTATTTTCTATTATTCTTTCGCACTTCTACTATATCGCAAAATATGTTGATGGCATAGAGAAAGAGGCATCCAGGATAAGGTGCTGTTTCCATTCAGAGATGTGAAAGAATACCACCAAAAATAATAGAAAAACTGATTCAAAAGCATTGAATTCGATAAGATTGATCTTTCTGCAACAAGTAACAATATGTAACATCAACTTGTAAAAAATCAGATTGTGCAATTTCTGTTTTATCGATGTATAAAAAAAATATAGAAAACGTAATACTCTCTATTCTAGAGAAACTTATTATTCTGCTTTCTTTAGAACAAAGTAGTAATGGGAAGACTCTTTCTGGAATTCTTTTCTAACCTATAGTCACTACCAATAAGTAAAATGAAAGAATCCAGCTTATGAACAAAGCATTGGATTTTCCAGTGATAATCACTTTGATCGGCTCGCATTCGTCAGTGCTAATTTAAAATGAAAAACCGAAGCAGTTGTAATGCTTATTATCCTGTTCCTGCTTCATAATTTGTTTCGAACATGTCAATATCAAATATTTTATCATAATTCAAATTTTATTTAACCAAAACTGAGAATACTAATAAAACAGAACCGCATTAACTGTGGATTATTATCGTATTGAATACGAAGAATACAAAGCAACAATTACGTACCTGAAGATTTCGGTGCGGTAAAACAAACCACCAGTATACCTATGATCGTAACTATACCTGTAATCATAGGCAATACAAAGATAGGTTTGGGTATAAAACCCAACATTGACCAGTAACGAAACTTCCTAGAAAAGAGCAACAACGATGATATTTTAAATCAAAAGAAAAAGTCATACATAGTCTGTTGAAACGTATAATTTTTTGTTCGATTGATGGTATTATTCCCATCGTTTGTTGCATTTTCGGCGTCAGGAATTGATCTTGGCTCCTCGTTTGCGTGGTCAAAAGCAGTGTTCCTATCAGGCGCGTATTTGACCAACTTAGCATTACCATCCATAGGAGCCATTTCAATCTACAAAGAGACAGCAGTTAAGGACGAACACGTATCTGACATGAGCATATAAATATATCTCTAAATATGGAGGGGTTCTACAGAAAATTGTTCCTGCAGTATTTCTATTTAATCCATCCAGTCAATATACGTATTAAAATACAACTTTTCGGTGCCATCTCAACAATTTTTCAACTGTTAAATAAATGTGTTTGATATGTTGAGGAGACTGCACAAGATATCTGACGATAAAGTTATACCCGATGAAAACACTGTGCACATACTGCAGTATATTAAAACGCTTATCAAAGCTGCTGCTTATTTAGTTTTTACTGATTTTTGTCAAAACTAATACACATCATTTTTTCTGTTTTCAATTCTCTTGTATGAATACTTTCAGATGAAAGACTTTCAACATATTTTCTAACAATATTTTTTAAAACAGTCTCTTGCAGAATTTCAGATCCGTCGAACCTTGATCAAGACACCACAATCACCGGTTTTAGAATTGTTAATTGGGAAAGTAAAACTTTCGTAGAATTTCTATATATAAAAGGCATATCGAAGTTATTTTGTCCTCTTTTTGACATTTACAAAAAAGCTATCAAAGTGAGATTAGTTTTGGAAGAAAAGTATATTAAAGTATTCTAACGTAGAAATTTTTTCTTCGTGGTGAAAGCTGAGATTTTATGTGGGCTTATTACAGAAGACTATGAATGTTTTCTATGCAAGATATCTCAGATTCTGCCTATATTTGAACAGATTCGGACGAAATATGTTTGTTCGATATTAGAAGATTATGAATGGATAGTATTTTGAAAAAACTATATCTCACTGAGATGAAATGGTCTATGAAAATTTCTGTTTCTTCACCTCTCTTCTTGAATTGCGATAATTTTGGATACTCTGTTCAATAACGTTAAGGTAGCAGTAAAATCAAATGATCGAGTTTATAGTTTCAATAATGTCTATAAATAGACATCAAAGACAACGGTTAGCGCGAAAAGTGTAGGCCATATCAATTGGTATATCGAGAGAAAAGAAATGATCATCTTCAAACGTATGAAAAATTTTCT